TTTCGCGATGCAAGAACATTTCTTTCGACAAAACGATCTCGAATATTTTTTTCGCGATGATACTGACGTAAGCGAAAGGTATACGCGGCGTTATAATGGTCCTCTAAATAACAAGATAATAGAGATACACGTATGTGAGTGTTACTTCCAGATCGCATCTTCCAGACACCTCTCCATAGCTTGCGCAGAAGTGGAAATGAATGGGCTGCGAAACCGCCTGGAGCATTCCGCGAATTTCTCGACGCGCAACAGCATCACACACATACACAAAGGAACAAAAACGGTGCGAGCACGCGGGAAACGAAAATTTATTGCGGAATTTGTAGGGAAGAGGACCGGCATTTCCGAGAAATAAGACACCGCGCCGTTTCTCAGACGACGCGAAATTTACAAACGCGACTCGTTGCTTCTCGAAGAGAGAAAACTACTTCACGAGATAATCGCGTCTTTGGAAGATCACAACTGATGCGAATTCGCATCCTCTTTTAACGTAATTAAGGATTAAATTATTCATTCCGGCACAATAAATTTTAATCTACTTACGCGAGAAAAGATCTACAATTTTGCATGTAGATTTTCCTCTTCTAGTTTATTTGACTGACAATGAGTAAAGAAAATGTCTACTCTCTTAGTTTGCAAAATGAGAGTTTGACTCTAGCGGTAGCAGGATTATCGAGGAGCAACAATCCTGTATTCTCCACCGAGTAGAACTTGGTCGAAAGTATCGGCGCTCAGACAGCTAAGGGCAGTGACTCCTGGGATCGCAATCTCGCTTGGCAGATCTGTCTGGGCCCTTGTGCCCAAGGGCGTATTGTGACCTAACTTCTCTTGTGACGAAGGTTTTCGAAATTAACGGACTCAAACGGTTCGAGAGGAAAGGAAAATATCTTGTTATAGTTGCCCGATATCGATCAGATCGTTCTATGTATATAATTGTAAGGGTTGTGCGTTTTATTATTTAGCTAGAGCATTCTAACACTATCGTATTCTTGAATATTCATGATAATTTAGATGAAAACAGAGACTATAAAATTTTTTCGTTATACTCATACTTGCGTGAAATCGCCTACATATAAATTATTTACTGAAATTTGCATCTTTGCATTTTTTGCTCCGCATTCTGAAACATTTTCAATATTCATGCGACACGTTGCGCAGAAATTTTTTATACATGTGTCGAAACTTTTCCCTCGAATCTTTTTGGAAAAGTAATCGCTTCTGTCATTCGCCAGGACGAAATTGGAATGGAATTCTCGAAACGTTTCCATCGCGCACAGGAGCTCCGAATAAAAGATCTTCGACGGGGATCAACTGCCTTTAAAAGCGCCCTCGGCTCCTGGACAAGGATGCTTCCCACCGACGTTGATGCAACTTCTTCTCGAAGTCGACGTCCTTTTTCATTATTCATATCGAGCCTTTCCCCTTTCCTCCCTGCCACATACGATGTTCTCCTCTTCAGCTCACGACTCTCTCCCTCACGTTTGCCTCGCGAAATGTCACATCGGTTGTGGGGAACCATTCGAGCGTGAATTTTCGCGATGGATTTTATACCCAACAAGTTGGAAACTCATGGAAAGCGATTTTTTTTGCTCGAAACGTAAAAGCGTTTGAATAAAAAAAAAATTATCTTCGTCTTACACAACATTTATACGAAATAACGTTTTATCAGCGATATATGCATCCTTTATAAAGTCTATGTCGAGACGACAACGTATAGTAATTTTTTTTTCATTCTTTCGTTAAAGGAGTCCGCGTTAATTTCTTTTTTTATCGTGATAAATTTTAATCGGAGAAACTCTTATAAAATTCTTCCGTGTTGTCCCACGATTATCACGATTTTCAGCGTAAATTCTAAGAGAAAATTCTCTCCGTGTATACGTAAATTGATTTCACTGTCGTTACACAATTGTAATATTATAATTAAATATCATATAAATTTTTTTCATAAATAATAAATTATCGCATTGACGTTCTTATGGTACGTCATCGTTCACTGCGTTTTCTTTCGCGATAGAAAAATCGGTAACGTTAGAGCTTCGAAGGCATCGAATCGCGGCGCAATAATAATTTGGATCGATTCGGTGCGATCTCCCGCAACTATATATCCACGTTAAGGTCAGTTCGATGTCGAATTGTTTTGCACAATGAGGGACTCGGAGATACGGTCGACGCGGGTTTAACGACGCTGGTTAGGAAAACCGGATCGTCCGATGGTGTACGTGGGGCGTGCCTGTTGTTCGAGTCGATGGATCCACTCGTTGCGAGAAGAAGGGCTTAGCGAACGGATGATAAATAATGACCGGCGGATATGCATTTATCAAAATACAATTCGATGCAGATAGAAGCGCGAGTGCACATATAGTGGGTGTAAATGGAAAAGGGGTTCTCTCGCGCGAGCGTTCTATCTCGTCTCTCTCGCGGGTTTAAGCGAAGCGAATAGCTGAAAGACGAGATTAGAAATTGTCGGATCTTCTCGAGAGGCGCGTCGGAATGAGATTCTAACTATCTCGGTGCACACATTATGTGAACTGTAAATTAGAATAGAGCGGGGAGGCCAGGAGCACTCGTGTGCGCACTCCGAACCAAAGAATTCTGAGCGCGCCAAGTATTTGCATCTTTCTTCCATCTGAGAAACCTGAACCTCCCAACGGAAGTAAATATTAACTATGTCTAATCAAACATAGGAATATTGTAAACACAAGTAAATATGTGATGATAAATATTAACTTATTCTTTACGTTAACTCACGTCTTTCTTTCTGGACACCATTTAGTTAATGCTGAAAGAATTTTTGTGTACAGATAGCAAACATTTTTTTTCGCAAATTTTTATCTTTGCCACTTAAATTATATACACCTATATATTCGTTTTACAATAATTCGCATTATCAAGCAATGACAAAGGATCCTATTCAATTTCAGCTCAATTATAATATATTCAGATCCGATTGCATCGACAATTTAGCATCACTATTTGTGAAATAATATCCAATGTTGCTGATTTGATGAAACGGCAGAGCGATTGAAATGCTCAACGCGATTTATATTCGCTAGAGCGAATTGTGTGATTGATAACGTCGCATTAGGTCCTATTACACGATGAAGGCGATTGTATTTATGTTAATTAACGCGATGGTATTATTTCAACTACGTTGCAATGCGCCCGGCAGCGATCGGGGTGCGGTTGCGAGAATCTTTCTCGAAGGGGTAATTAAGGCTACGTTCAACTAACAAGTAGCGCGGCAATTTATTAACAAACTACAGCACTTCGTCATCACAACACTGCTATTAAACAGAAACGCAATCGATAATCTCTCTTTATGCTCCTAGCAATCGCGCACGTCAGATAAATTAACTGTCCCGAGATGGGCGATTTTATTTTGGTCAAATATTTGCTCGTTGGGGATAACTCTGATTTATCGTGTCTATTGCGTGTGGCATAACATAGATGTTCTTTTATCACCTATAGATACGATAATTTATAACCGCCAGGAAATCGTGGGTGAGTGAGTACGAAATTCTCAAATTATATGGCATAAATTATGGCAAAATGCATTCATGACGTAGAACATACCTATAGATGTATATTCATGATTGTAAAATAATTCGATTCATATATTTATCTTGATATTATATTTATCCCGATATGCATGATTGAAATGAATTTTTGGAAATTTTATTTTTACTGATAATAAAGAAATTTTGTATTTTTTATGCAAAACGCTGTCGTTGCATAGTTTATCATTGAAAAGCAGGCATCGCGAATCATATAATGTTCAGTTTCAATCTCCTTTACAAATCAACCGCGAGGAATTCGACAATTTAAGCAATGTAAAAAAAGGAAAAAGAAAAAAACACCGCAGAGAATTTTCTCTTAGAATTTACCCTGAAAATCATGGTAATCGTGGGACAATAGTTTCGGAAGAATCTTATAAGAGTGCAGAGAATATTTACTACAATAAAAAATATTAATATTAAACTGAACACCGTTTGAATATAGACGCTCCACAGAATAATGTGAGACGTGAACGATTACCATCAATTCGCCTTTTTAGTTTTTACTTGAAAAGGAATTTTTTTTTCCACGTAATAAAATAAGCCAGTTTTGGTCAATAAATTAACTGTTCATATTTAAAAAATATTAATGTTTACAGTGAATTTTATTATACAAAATTAATAAATAATAAAAATTTTAATTTTGTCTAAAAAATTAATCGAACATATATTTTATATTTTATTGTGGTAAATATTAATATTTTTTATTTTTGTAGTATTATCATATGACTAATAAATAATAAATCTTACTGTATAAAAAATTAATCAAACATATTTTATATTTTATTGTGGTAGATATTAATATTTTTTATTTGCAGTATTATCTCAGGATTACCATGATTTTCGGGGTAAATTCTAAGAGAAAATTCTGTGTATAAACATCGTTGCCGAGAAAAGAGCTCGCAAGTTCGTGCTTCATCTCCACGTTCTTATCGTGCCTCGACAAAAACCGAGCGTGCGGATGCTGCGCCACTGGAGATCCGCGCGTCGGGGCAGTTTTAATGGTACCGGGGGCCCCTTTCTCCCCCCTCCCCCCTTCAGCCGAATTCGGGTACGAGGACCCCCGGACGAAACTCCGAGTTCGGTTCACGCATCTGCATATAAATCACTGACCGGACAGGCTTAGGGAACCGGCGGAGGCTATAACGCCGACCCGCCAATAACCGCGAAACATCGTTCCTTCGAAGGGTCTTCCACTAAAAACAGCTCCCATACGGCCGCAATTTCGCCGTCATTCGAGGAGAAGGAAAAAAAGAGGATTTCGGAAACCAGAAGGGGAGCCACGTTCACCACGCGAAATGACTTCCTCGCGTTCTTGTGCCACCTTACTTTAACTTGGCATAAATTTTGACACCCTCAATGTTGCGACGTTCGATCGATTTTCCCGCGTTCAGGAGTTTTTTTTATTAAGAAACTACGAAATATATATTCAAGGAGGGCTCTTACCTTAGCCTCTAGGGTCTCCAATTGCGCCATTCTGGGTTCCAACAGCTGTTGCTGAGGGCCAACTCCCGTGTGTAGTGCGGTCTGAAATAAATTATTCGTCAAATTATATAAAGATATTAATAAACCGAGTTGTAATTTTATATTGGAATATTTATATTTCCCGCACATAATTCGTAACTCAACGATAAACAATTTATCTTATGCTTTCTTCTTGAAATTATTACTTTCTCGTAAATTTTTATAAAGGACGATATTCACGTATCAACAAATTGACGCTTTAGATTCCAATTTTTGTCACGACTTTATTCTATATATAACTATAAGCAAGCATGATATTCCTAGAGTTAAATTCTCATTCACTCCTGATATTCGATACGAGTCTCGAGGGTATTATTGCACACTCCACATCCACCAGTATCTCACCGCGTTATTGTAAAAAGTTCGCACCGATATCTTGGATAATAAAAAGAAAGGAAGAAGAAAAGTTATTCGCAAACCGCGACCTTCCGAGTCTTCATGGTCAGTCGTAAGCTAATATCCGTGGCGGCTGTAACGTTTTCTGAAGACGATGGGAGTTCAACGGCGAGGATATACTCGTTGCGGACGGTAATAATTACGGCGTTCGTCAGCCCGGGATGGGATCGAGGTTGCCCATCGTCTCTCCTCTTGCATATTTGGCGCAAATGCACCGGTATTATTTTAAACATGTCATGCGGTGAAATCGATATGCATATAAGGCTAATAGCAGCACTTGAATTAAATTAGTACAAATATATAATAAACACATAGAAAATGATAATAACTTAGTACCAATTTATCTGTAGCAAATTCTTGTGGAATCCATATTTTCAATAAGAAAAGATAAGATAAATGTTATAAAGTATTAAATTTTGAAAAGTGTATAATAATTTTTTTTTTCAAGTACAAATATATATTCAGCTTGTATTAAGTACCATCCTCTATTATTCTTAGCATGAATTTTTTCAACACCATGGATTATTTGCGAGAGAACAAGAATATTATGCGTGTGCAAATAAAAAAAGATCGTACTTTTCGTGTGGCTTTGTTGCGAAGATATAATCTTTATTGAAATTATTTTCTCACTTTCTTCTCAAAAATAATCTCCCGCGCGGAAAGATTGCGAAAACGCAATCATACTTTGCTATTCGCGAATCCCACCGGCTGATGGAAAGCAGTTTTGTGGTCGTTGTGTGTCGTTGTGGTGTAGACACCTCCGACAGAGCAGTATCATGATAAAATAAAAGTTATATCGAGGGGAAAAAATGATTCAAATAATAAATCGACACTAATGAAGAACTCGTCCTCGAAAGTTTTTACGGACTCATTTAACATTACTTTTTCTTAATATTTCTGTCGCACTTAAAGTCTAAAATTAGTTTTAATGGTTTGTTCTGCACTTTTTTTCAAATATATGATATATCTCGTTCAATTTTCGCTATTTTTAAAATAAAGAAAAGTGTTGGGAAAATATTCATATAAAGCTGATGCTTTTGTAAGATAACTACGAAATTGTATTTGCGCATTAAATAATTTTATTAATATATTTTTATAGATAAAATAGCCAAGCAAGACTTGGCTCTACTTTAAGAAATTTTTATTTAAAAAAAAATTTTCCTTATCATCATCGAAAGTATAAAGCTATTTGTGCTAAATCGTTCTTTCAAAGCTTCCTACGAATTGCATGACGAAACTTTATGCTTACCGCTACCTATGACATTATAAACTTTCCAGTTCTACGTCTTGTATCGTATACACAGTTTACGAGAGTCGTACAGCTCCATTGTGAAGTAGCATGCTGATCTTCTCGACCTCTCTTTATGGAAATTATGGCACATATTATTTAACGAAAAAATAATTTTATAGATAAAAAAATCTGTACTGTTTTCTTTTCATATTTTTCTAATACTAATTATTTATACATATATAATTTAGTTATAATATACAATATTATTAAAATTTGTTCAGTTAAATTAATTTTTATATAATTTATACGCTTTTGAGGTAGAAATGAGATGTGCAAATTTAATACAAAAATTTAGTAACGCTATATTTAATCCATTAAACTTCCATATATTTTGGTGTTACCAATTTCTGTCATTTAAATTAAAATAGCGGAATAAAATATATATTGTATATATATGCCAGTACAGGCTTTCCGAAGCGCATCAAAATTTATGAGCAAAGTTTCGACGTCACGCCAATCTTTTGCTATTCGTCACTGTCGGATTGTGATGCATGCGTTGTATGCATAAATTCTGGCGCATATGGCACAGATCAAGAGATTTAAACTTTTTAATGTTCTTGATAATAACAATCCATTTCATTAAATGTCAAAAGACATTTATTTAAACTTGTGACAACACATGCGATATCGCATATAAAATTCAACGAATCGTTTCAAAATGTAATATCAAACTAAAAATTATTTTGTAAATTAAGAAAAATATACGTATCAAATTGCTATATGCGCATCTAATAAGACGAAGCAATTAATAAAATTATTCGGCAACTATTTACTTAATAAATATAATTGAGAAATGAGCAATGATATTACGTAGAAACGTAAATTAATTAATTTACGCGTTTTAATCGAAATTTAATGCACAAGTTAATTATCGGAAACACATGTTCCTTCATCGATCATACGTGCCATAATTTTTAATTATTATACGCACCACTTACGGTAGCTAATGACGATGTGATTCTGCTCGACGGTGAAAAAGAAACGAAACTGAGAACTCGTAAAAGAGTCGAAAAAGAACTGACGTTCTCCGAGTTGCACCATTAACTACATTTCACGGTGAGTAATTGCGTTTGCGAATAAATGAAGGTGCATATTTTTTTCTAAAGAGTCCGACGCAAGGAAGGAAAGAGCATTATCGAACCGGCAATGCCGTATTATCAAGATAATGGTAGAGCTTCTTCAAAAAAATTTTAATTCCGATATATTTTCTCTCGCGTTGAATCTTTTTCGCGCTACGGAATTAACAAGATTACATTGGACGTCGATGTTCGCCAATATCTCTTTTTTTCGCACTCATCTAATTGTAAATATAATTTACATAATAATCGTCGAACATTTCCGCGGAGTTAAACGGATTCACACACAGTTGAAAGATTTGTGTTAATTTAACATAATATGTTAACTTTTCATTTTATATCATCCCTATTTATATTATAAAATAGAATCAACATTTTTTCTGTAAATTTTAACAGATAAATCTTGTCACTAATAAAACAGAACATATTTATTGTGCAAAAGTAAAAATAGATGCACATGTTATTTTTACATATTTTTCCAGTTGTTTTAATAATTTAACATTCAAGTTCAATTAACACAAGAATTTTAACGGGGACCGTTTTTAACAAGAAAACAAATTTTTCTACCGTGCATTTACGAGCAAACTTCGTCGTTCCAACGTCGGTATAGTCGGCACATTATCGTGTTCCGCGCTGTCGATGAAAGACAGTTTTGCGGTCGTTTGCCGGTTACCTTCGATAGTTGTACGAGAAAAAAAATAAAAAAAAGAAGGAAAACCGCACAGGAAAAGGAAATGGAAGGCGCGTGGGCGGATATATTGGCGTCTTTCCAGGCGCAAGATCGCAAGAGTACCGGAAAAAGGGTTGCAAGTTACAACCGAGGGGAAAGCGATAGATATGGGGAACATAATGAAATGTACACACGTAACTCTCCCTCTTTATGCAAAAACATATATGCTAACGGTAATTTGTATAAATATTTAATGAAAACACACATATGTTACATATATGTAAATACGAAGTACGAGAGAGATGCAACGATATTTATGTTATAGATCGAGTTATGCTCAGGAGGACCGGCGTATAATTTGATCATTTAGATTATATCCATTGAAATGAAATAAAAAAAAAAAGGAACTGGAACGAACAGGCGTTTAATGCGTTAAAGCCGATAGCGCGCGGATGTTTGTTGCGAGGTCGAAAGAGGGAGGAATAAGAGGGTGAGATAAGAGAGAAGCTGGGCTTCTCTTCTCTCGTCGCGCCAGAAGAAAAATCTTGGTTATATTTCACGTGACGTCGAAGTGATCGCGTGTGTTTGTGCGCGTACACGCGCGTGTGCCTCGCCGCTTCTCTCCCACGAAGAACACGAACCGTTCCGTGTCTTTGTCGTTTCCGTCTTCGTTTTTCACCGCGAGCTTTTTCCTCCTTTTTTCAGGGTCTTTCTTAATTGCTTTCCAGAGGAGTGAAGACGAGCTCTCTCTCTCATCCTCGTCTTCCTTCCTTGCGCCTATCTCTTAAATGCCACCTACAGTTGACTGCTACTACTTGGATAAAAGGGAAGATGACTGACAATGAAAAAGCTTCGTCATATTTGAAGATTTTAAATATTCATCTGCCCGAACAAAAATTTATGACAATGATGTCGCAATTCACGTATCACCGTGTAAAATACAATCATCCATGATTCATGAGATGTCCTTATCAGATTAATTTTTAATTATTATCCAAGGGGTATTAAATATCGATAGTATGCTAATTTACTCTTGTTAATATAGGAATTAGCATCGTGCATGGTGAAACAAATTAGCGATAACAAGAATCGATAATGATTTTACTATAGGAAATATAAAAAAAAGAATATATATATTTCGTGCGCAACAAACGGAAATGGCAATTATCCGCAACGGTTATATAATCATTACGGCACATCGAAACCGGAACGATCGAAGAAATGCGGTAAAAAGCGACGATACGCGTACTATCCACGTAATGCTCGATCTTTTCGAGATGAAGGAAAATTGGTTGCACATCGGAGCGCGACGCGACAGCAAAAAACTGACGCCGTTCGTGCGAATAATCAGACCTGCTCCCTCGTTAATTAGTAAGCGCGAGTGTACCGATATGATTATCGATTGCGAGAGCGCCGTTCGTATAAATGCCGATGTTTGCACGCTATCGCATCTGCGGACTCGCATTTTATACGAATATCGGGCTACGTCTGTTTTTTATCGACAAATATTATTTTTATTTCACTTTTTATTGGCGGTAGAGAATGGAAAATCCTTTACTATAGAATTTAA